AAAAAAAAAAAGCCCTACATTAATTAAATAACAGCGAGATCCCAGTTCAGGGCTAAGGCACTTGCCTTCCATGCAGTGAACCCATCTGAGCCATTGTACCACATATGGTCCCCAGCGCAGAGTCAGGAGTAGCCCCCAAGCACTGCTAAATATGGCCCCATTCCCTGCTCCCCCCACTCCAACTTCCCCAAATAGCTAGAGTTTAAAATACGAGGGGTCTAAGAAATAGCTCAAAAGGCTGAGTGCATGCTTTGCATGCCAGAGGTTCAGGTTTGGGGAATCCCTCCCCCATGCAGAATCCAGAGCACCACTTGGTCACTTGGTGCAGTCCAAAAAAAAAAAAAAGATAGTATAAATGCTGGCAAAAAGCAACTAAAACTATATGCATTACTGGCAGTATTTTACGGAAAAGTTAACAGAATTTTCTGTATGTTTATACTAAACATATACCTATATATATATATATATATATATATATATATCTTTTGGATCACACCCAGTGATGCTCAGGGGTTACTCCTGGTGGTGCTTAGAGGACCATATGGGATGCTGGGGATCGAACCCGGGTCGGCCGCGTGCAAGGCAAACACCCTGCCCGCTGTGCTATGGCTCCGGACTCTCTAGATATTTATGAGCCAGCAATCCCACTGCTATATACCAGATAATGGAAACAACTATTCACTAAAAGATTTATATAGCACCGCACTGCAGACTGTACTCCCGTTGTTCATCAATTTGCTGAAGCGGGCACCAGTAACGTCTCCATTATGAGACTTGTTGTTACTAATTTTGGCATATCGAATACATCATGGGTAGCTTGCCAGGCTTTGCCATGCAGGTGGGATACTCTCGGTAGCTTGCTGGGCTCTCCGAGAGGGGCAGAGGAATCGAACCCGGGTCAGCCGCGTGCAAGGCAAAAGCCCTACCTGCTGTGCTATTGCTCCAGCCCAATAATAAATAAAAACAAGTATATTCAGAAAACAAGGTAATCAGCAGTATAAAGGAATAAACTATTGCTACAACAACAGGGATGAACTTCAAAAATAGGAGAAGGGGGGCTGGAGCGATAGCACAGCGGGCAGGGTGTTTGCCTTGCATGAGGCTGACCCGGGTTCGATTCCCAGCTTCCCATTTGGTCCCTGGAGCACACTAGGAGTGATTCCTGAGTGCAGAGCCAGGAGTAACCCCTGAGCATCACTGGGTGTGACGCAAAAAGAAAAAAAAAATAGGAGGAAGTATCAAGTGATAGCTCATGCCAACCTAAGTTCAATCCCAACTCCACATGGCCCTCCCCATGCAAAAAAAAAAATTAAGCTGAGCGAAAGATGCCTTACTAAATTAATTTATATATTCGAACACTCTTGAACTTATTCGCCAACGTGGCTTGGCACATGCCTCAGGCAACCACAAGCGAACATCCGAACTGGCAAAACAGTGCAGAGAAGCCATCAAGGATGACCTCAAAAACAGGAGAGCAGCAGTACTGGTAGATGCAGCAGAAGCTGGGAAAAACATTCGTAACGCCCGCCTATCCTTCACCAACTACAAAACCAAGATGACTGCCCTCCGACATCATGATGGATCTATCACATCTTCCAGAAGGGCAATGGAGAAGATTATTCATGACTTCTACTCAGATCTCTTTAATAGCCACATCCACTTGCCCACATACCACATACCACATGATGGATATGTCGTTCCCAATGTTCTCCCTTCCGAAATCCAACATGCCATCTCGTCTGTAAAGAAACAAAGAGCACCTGGCCCAGACAAGATCAGACCTGAACACCTGAAGAACTTACCATCAGTACTCATCAATACTCGACTCTTCACACACTACCTGTCTGAATGCAAGGTTCCATCCCAATGGAAAACCAGCAGGACTGTACTACTATACAAGAAAGGAGACATCCACGACATTGGCAACTATCGCCCAATCTGCCTATTGTCTGTCATCTACAAACTATTCACTCAAGTCATCCTGAATAGGATTAGCAGAACACTAGATGAAGGACAACCATGTGAACAAGCTGGATTCCGAAAAGGATTCAGTACCATCGACCATATCCACACAATAACCAAGCTCATTGAGGTATCTCGGGAGTTCAAGATGCCGCTCTGTCTAACGTTCATTGATTTAAAGAAGGCCTTTGATTCTGTTGAGACGGAAGCGGTCATGGAAGCCCTAGCCAATCAGGGCGTACAAACTCAATACATCAGGATCCTTCGTGAGCTCTATTGCGGATTCACTACCAAGATCTCACCATTCTACAAAGAAGTAATCATCCATATCAAGAGAGGGATTCGGCAGGGTGATACCATTTCACCAAAACTCTTCAGTGCCACCCTCGAGAACATCATGCGACGACTAGAATGGGAAAACATGGGAGTGAAGATAGATGGTCGGCAACTACACCACCTCCGCTTTGCTGATGACATCGTTCTAATAACACCAAACATCAGCCAAGCGGCACAAATGCTGGCCGACTTTGACCGTGAGTGTGGAAAGGTCGGACTACAGCTGAATCTTACGAAGACAATGTTTATGAGAAACAGCCTTGTTCCTGACGCTCCATTCGCTCTCAACGGAACCACCATCTCCGAATGCAACAGTTATATATACCTAGGTCGAGAAATCAACACGATGAATGACCTGGCACCTGAGTTGTGCAGGAGGAAGAGAGCGGCTTGGAATGCCTTCAAGAGCATTGAAGAAATAACTAAAAGGACAAAGAACCTCCAGCTACGAACACATCTCTTTGATTCCACTATTCTTCCTGCATTAACATATGCCTCAGAGACCTGGACCCTACGAAAACAGGATGAGAACACTATTCGGGTCTCTCAAAGAGGAATCGAAAGAACTATGCTTGGAATATCACGATTCACTCAAATGAGAGATAGAATCCGGAGTTCTGATCTTCGTCAACGCTCAAGAATCAGGGACGCTGTCTCATTTGCCAAGACATCAAAAATCAGATGGGCTGGACACGTAATGAGGTTTACAGACAACCGCTGGACTAGAGCCATTACTGATTGGATTCCACGGGACATCAAAAGATCACGTGGACGCCCACCTATAAGATGGTCAGACTTCTTCGTCAAGACCCTAAATGATCGGTTTGAGGCTCTGCATGTTCCTAGAACGAACAGATACCATTGGGCTACGCTAGCACGCAACCGGGATGAACGGAGACGTTACTGGCACCCGCTCGAATAAATCGATGAATAACGGGGATTAAGTGATTAAGTGAATCACTTAAGTGATTAAGTGATTCAACTAAGCTGGAACAGGCAAGATGAATGTCTGGTTGGAAAAAAAAAAAAGAACACAACTACACAGTTGTACTGCCAGGAGTATAAAGAGCAAGAAGAAAGAAATAATTTCCTAGGACAATGGCAATATTCTATGTTGGGGTTTTTGTTCTGTTGTTGTTGTTGTTGTTTTGGTTTTGGCTTTTTTTGTTTTTGGTTTTGCTTTTTGGGTCACACCCAGCAATGCTCAGAGGTTACTCCTGTCTCCGCCCTCAGAAATTATTCCTGGCTCAACACTCAGAAATTACTCTTGTCAGTGATTGGGGGACCACAGGAGATGCTGGGGATTGAACCCCAGTCAGCCTCAGGCAAGGCAAACGCCCTACCCGCTGTCCTACTAATCCGCCCCAATATTCTAAGTCTTCGTAGAGTTGGCTAATTTGTATGGCGGGGAGACTCCCAAAGGGGCCGCAGGGTCACTCCTAGTGACACTTGACCAAGCAGGCCAAAGGGTTCAATGTGTGGGCCTGTCAGGGTCCTTTCCAGCACCTTCGGGGCTGGAAAGAATTAAACCGCTGGTGTTGAGCATGCAAGGCACATGCCTCTACACCCTGACCTATGTGTAAGTGTGACAAGAGTATTTGTCATTTGTCAAAACTCATTGGATGATATATTCTCAAGATTGTGCATTTCATCTTACATCCTCTCCAAACGTATAAATATTAAGTTCTAGACAAGCAGAAACATTCAGTTGACTTTTGCAACAAACTTGAAGCCAAAAATTAAGATGGATTAAAGAAGGAAGGAAGATGGGTAGATGGATATATGACGAAACAACAACAAAAGGTGAGTCACTATACTACTTGGGAGTAGACACAGGCTTCTTAGAGGCCATAGAAGACAGTAACTAGGAAAGGAAAACCTGCCAGGGCCATCGCGATATAGCTCAGTGGTAAAGGTCTGCCTTGCATTTTGGAGGCCCTAGGGTCAAACCCCAGGATGGAAAGAGCAAGGGTTCAAGGTACTTGTCTTGCATGTGTCTGACCCCAGTTCACTCCCCAACACCACCTCATATGGCCTGAACACCCCAGAGTGACTCCAGCACCCAGGTCCATTCTTGGTTGGAGGTCACCTCCGAACATTGAGAGCAAGGAGTAGATCCTGAGCACCACTGGGTGTGGCCCATTTATCAATGAACGATTCTTTTAACTTCTGTGCACTCTTGAACGTTTTCATAACAAATACTGGAGTGAGGCTTTCAGTATGAATTATTAAATGAAGAGTGTACACCAGATCAACGGCAAGAGCGGCAGCTACCACCATGAACTGACTAACTACGTGTGAAGCATCACAGGTTTTCATAAGTCACACCTATACACAGCAATTCTGCAAGGTAAGTCGTGTTACTCGTTTTCCTGAAGAGAGAAATAATACACAGAAAGACCAGGGAACTTGTTTCATCCTCATGTAGCAACTGAATGGTAAATGCAGAACTCGGATCACTTTTTTTAATATCACACTTAAAAACAAAATCCCAGGATCCGACCCAAAGTTGTTTTGGTTTTTGTTTTTAATTACTACGAGAAACTTTATAGATCAAGACACTGCTATTCCATTGCAGCAGACAGGCTGTAACGTGGCTATTGCTAATCTTGTCTCCTTTCAACAGTATTATATATGTGGTTTACATTCTTGACATGAATGCCAAAACCATGACATAAACTTTCCCAATCAAAACTCTTTACCTCATTTCTCGTTCTTCGTGCTGAGCGATAAGGTTGCTATAAAAATTCTCCAGTGTCACTTTGGTCATTGTCACCCTTTCTTTTGTGTGATTACTCATGGATGAACAAGGTGTTGAGCCCGTCATTGCCATGGCTGCTAGATTAAAAAAAAAAAAAAAAGGTTTTAGTTCGGACTCGAAAATCCAAAAACTATATTTTCTCCAACCCAGTTGGTAATATAATGCAAATGACCATGGTTTCTAGAGGATAAAGTAACACATTAACAAAAGCCGAAACACAGAATACTTGGTGAAAAATAAGTATGAAGACCCTATGTATACCATGACATCGCTGAAAGATCTCTTGGTAAAAGGCATAATTTGTCATGCATTGGTTCTTAGAGTATTGCACGGGCTTATGCACTACAAAGAGGATCCACATTATGTTATCATTTGTCTTACAGGAAGTGAAGGGAGTTCAATAAAAAAACAAAATACTGTGAATAACTACTAAGAAATACCATGCAGCAGTCAGAAGTAACTTAAAAACAATTGAAATAAATATCACGTTTATCTAAACCTAGCTTTATGGGCCAAAGAAAGAGCTCAGCTGGTAGGGCGCTAGCCTTGCACATGGCCAAACCAGGGTCCCCTGAGCTCTGTCAAGAGTGTCCACTGAGCACAGAGCCAAGAGTAAGCTTGGAGTACTTCTGGAGTGGCCTCCAAAACCAAAAATAAATTAATAAATGAATAAAATCTGGTTTTTATGGTAAGTTTTTTTCTTTTTTTAAGTTTTTTTAATTGGTGTTCAGGGATTACTCAAGGATCATTCCTGGCAGGCTTGGGGGACCACATGAAGTATCGGGACTAGAACCCAGGTCAAGTCATGTGCAAGGCAAGCTCCTTACCTGCTCTACTATCACTCCGGCCCCACTAGCTTTCTTTTTAGAAAAGAGAGTCAGAGACAATTCAGGGAAGTAAGGTGCTTGCCTTACAGACAACCCAGGTTCAATCCCTAGCACTGGTCCCCCGAGCACACCAGGAGTGATTCCTGAGTATAGTCCCAGGCCAAAGTCCTGAGTACGGCCAAGTGTGGTCCCATAACCCAGAAAAAGAAAATAAAACGAGAACAAGCAAAATAACATATGAATAAGTTAAACATATGTAATTAAAGATCCAGTATAATTCTTTGCTAGATCTAGAAATCTACTTTGAAGAAACCCAGAAGGATTTCTATACAAGGAAATTGATTCAAGACAGCATTGAAATGACAAAGGAAACCAAAAAGTAACTTGGCTGGTCAAAACAAAATTAAGCACTTATTAAAAAGTCCAAAATAAAATACTGGGGAAACAACATATGTTCAAATGTTTGATGTTGGGGGAAACATTTCCAATATAAATTCAAGTTCAAAGGGGGCCGGAGCAGTAGAACAGTGATGGAAAATACCTTAAAGCCCAAGCAAGGTTTAGACAGCTTACAGAATATTTCCCCCAAATTTGAATTTCATCTTCCCACAGGTATTTTTTTTTTTGCTTTTTTTTGGGTCACACCCAGCAATGCACAGGGGTCACTCCTGGCTCTGCACTCAGGAATTACCCCTGGAGGTGCTCAGGGGACCATATGGGATGCTGGGAATCGAACCCGGGTCGGCCGCGTGCAAGGCAAACGCCCTACCCGCTGTGCTATCGCTCCAGCCCCTTCCCACAGGTATTTTACCAATCTATATCTACCATCACATTTGGCCAGACTGCTCACCAACCTTGACTGGCTCAAAAGTTGGTAACAGTGCTCAGTACTTTATTCTTATTCCTGGCTGGGGGGAAAAATTAGAAGGGGCCCAGGGCCATTTTCTAATTAATGCATTTTCTTAAAAGTTTTCTTAATGGGGCTGGAGTGATAGCACAGCGGGTAGGGCGTTTGCCTTGCACATGGCCGACCCGGGTTTGATTCCCAGCATCCCAATATGGTCCCCTGTGCACTGCCAGGAGTAATTCCTGAGTGCAGAGCCAGGAGTCACCCCTGAGCACCGCCAGGTGTGACCCAAAAAGCAAAAAAAAAAAAAAAAGTTTTCTTAAAATTATCCCCTTGAAAACTAAGAAGACTTTTAAACTGTTTTACAGACTAAGCTAAGGCTTTTGAAGAATGAGCACACACTCATTATTAGTAAGGAAAAAGACAACATAAAACAATTTTTTAGAAAAAAAAATGTTGAGGGGAGATCACATAAAAACTTTTTCAGAGTAAAGAGATTCAAAAATCAAGGCACGACTTCTGAGTCCTGACTTTTGATTCTTGATATCCCAAATGATCAGTAATAGTAAATTAGTGAACTGAATTGTATTCAGTTCTTACTAGAATAAAAAAAATATTACTCTTATGGGAAAATTTCTGCTAAGACCAAAGCAAACTAGAACGGGTGTAGGGTATCAGTAGAAGAATTTGTTTTCAAAACTCTGATTATGAAGTCTGGGTGTGGTTCCTTATTTGTCAGCCTGTAGCCCCTCCGCCCACAATGAAAACCACATGCACTCCGAGTTTGGTGAAGAAATTCTGAGACCATGTTTGAAAACAAGTCTGAAGCAAGGAAGAGCTCCACACTCCGTCCCTTGTCTGAAAATTTCTATAAACCTTCCTATACACTGGAGATACAATAGTTCCATTTTAACAACTAAAATTATTTCAACATAAAAATACAACTTGAAAGTGTTTGAGCCTAAAATAAACAACGCTTTCCCTATAACAGGCCATTAATAAAAGCAAGTTAAGCAAGTTAATGATTTTTCAGCTGTCCACAAAGCCCAAGAACAAAGATTACATTTATATTGATGGACACACACAAACATGGGCAAGGGGGCAGAGGTGTATTCCAGACCCATTTAAGTTACGGGCGTAACTTCCTGCACTTTTAAAAAGATCAGGCGGAGATTGCATCCGTTCAAAGACGCTTATCCATGAAGCCAACACGTTTTCTGGAAGAGTGATTTTCAAACTTTCACAGTCTCTAATGTCCTAGCGAAGCTTGTGCTTGTCCTTCTCGCTGACCTTTCTCCAAAACTTCCTCCTCCACTTCCCCCACTCATCGTGGAGCCTAATTCTTAATCATCTTCGATCAGAAGATCACAACAGCTACCGCACAACAGAAATTTGGTGACCTGCTGGCCGACCAAGGCACCCTTCCTAGAGAGGCCCTGGTGTGCTGACCAACCAGCCCCCAGGTCACTGAGCCTCCTGTCCTGTGCGTCTGATTCTCCTCCTTTCAGGATCAGCGAATAATAATAGTAGGCGGAAAATTCTTTTTTTTTTAAAAGAAAAAAAATAAAAGCTTGGAAAAACTGAACCTAAGAACAGGATCCTCATAAAATCAGGGTTCTGGCAACACTTACAAGGTCTCGTGAAAAAACAATGTTTCCAGTCCATCACGACAGGCTTGCCTGGCTGCGGAAAGGACCTGCACACCGGGTGGGTCTGCGCCCACCCCAAGTGACCCCCCTCGGTGCACCCCTTCGGACTGACAGCCCAGCTTGGACATTTCCAAGGGGACAGTCGAACCCGGGGCAAAGCCGCCCCGCGCCCGCACAGCACAGCCCCGCCGGGCCCTCGAGCCCCCACCCCCGGGACTCGGGAGACCCGGACCCGGGCCCGGGGTCTCGCGCCCGCCCCCCGCCCCCGCCGGACAGCGCCGGCCGGCGGGGGCGGGCAGGGCTGGGCAGCGGTGGCGGTCAGCGCGGCTACGGGACGGCCGCGGGCTCGCTCCACGCCCACCTTCCCGTTCCGGCCCCCGAAGAACGGCGGCTCCCCGCGCCCCGCCGCCCCCCGCAGCAGCAGCGGGCACTCACCGGGGCCGCGGCGGCCGGGCTGGACGGCGGGAGGCGCCGCGGCCGGAACAAGGCGGCGCGGAGGGGCCGAGGCGCGGGTCTCCGGAGAGGGGCTGCGCGGCCCGCAGTGCGCAAGCGCGACCGCGGCGCCGCCCGCCCCGGCGCCCCGCCCCGCCCCGCCCCTCGGTGCGCAGGCGCGACCACGGAGCCCCGCCCCGCCCCGCCCCGCCCCTCGGTGCGCAGGCGCGACCACGGAGCCCCGCCCCGCCCCGCCCCGCCCCTCGGTGCGCAGACGCGACCACGGAGCCCCGCCCCGCCCCGTCCCGCCCCGCCCCTCGGTGCGCAGGCGCGATTCCGGCACCGCCCACCCCGGCGCCCCGCCCCGCCCCTCGGTGCGCAGGCGCGATTCCGGCACCGCCCGCCCGCCCCGCCCCTGGGGCCGGCGCACCGTGTGCTGGGGGAGGTGCCGGAGAGCGGGGCCTGGAGGGCTCCTTCTGGGCTGTGATCTCCTTCACTTTTTTTGGTTTTGGCTTTTTGGGTCACACCCGGCGATGCACAGGGGTCACTCCTGGCTCTGCACTCAGGAATCACTCCTGGCGGTGCTCAGGGGACCACATGGGATGCTGGGAATCGAACCCCGGTCGGCCGCGTGCAAGGCAAACGCCCTCCCTGCTGTGCTATCTCTCCAGCCCCCTCTCCTTCACTTTTTGTTGTGAAACATTTGTAGACACCAAACGTTGCAAAATGATCCGCGGAGCTCTCGCGTGCCTTTCACCCACCCAGCTCCCCTTAACATCTTACATAACGAGACTGCCTTATCAAAACCAGGAAATTGACACTGGCACAGGGCAATTTAATTGCATTACAGGCCTTGCTCGGATTTAACCAGTTTGGCACGCATTCTATTTGGCATGCATTCTATCTGCGTGCTCTAGAGCCCGTGCTCTTGTGTAGCTCTGTCAAATGTCACATCCTCCACTTCCTAACTTTTCCACTTAAGTAACTTCCTGTTGGATTGCTTAAAGTAACCTTGGAACCTAGGGAGTTCTTGACCTGCAGCCCAGAGCGCCTGCTGTCCTGGGGCTGGGGAATCACACAGGACTGGAGTACAGTCACAGCAATAGCCGCCCCCCACACCCCCTCGCCGCGCTCCCCCCAGCACCCCACAGCACCATCTGGCCTAGCGCTTGTCCCCAAACACTGCAAACCTTGCCTGAGCACAGCCGCAGCACCAAGTCCTTTCAGCTAGGCGGTGTATTAAGTTGGTCTTGTCCCCTCTGTGAGTGTGGTTTGGGAGACCCCACTGGGAAAGAGAGAGGAGAGGGATCCTCCTACTCATTTCACTTAAATTCATCATCTTGCCGGCAGAGAAACAGCCCAGCACCATGTTTCCAGAAGAATATGATGCCACTAAATCTTTCCAGGTAGACTGGTCCAGGCTGAGAGCTCTGGGGCCTTTGGAGATGAGTGCCCGCAGAGTCCCCTTTCTGCCTGCAGGCTCGCAGTCCCAATCCATACCCTACCATATTAACAGAAATGGCCCAGCTAACCCAACTGAACTTCATCAAATCGCTCCACATCTGTAGACCTTGGGCTGGAGCGATAGCACAGCGTTAGGGCATTTGCCTTGAGTGCTGCTGGTTGGCCAAGCCAGGTTCAAGCTACCAAGAGTATCTTGCCGGCACGGCAAAGCCTGGCAAGCTCCCCGTGATGTATTTGATATGCCAAACACAGTAACAACAAGTCTCACGATGGAGACGTTACTGGGCCCGCTCGAGCAAATTGATGAACAACGGGAGGACAGTGCTACCGTGCAATGCTATAGACCTTGAACTACACAGCTTGTATCATAGTCCAGTAGATCACAGCAAATCTGATGGGACAGTTACACAGAAGCCCACCAAGCTCAGTGAGCCCAAACCATAACATAGAAGACTCAACCAGTACTCACTAGCACAGTAGATCCTCAGACATTGACTTTAGTAACATTAGTGTGGGTAACATCAGTAACCAGTAACAATGATCACGAATGGACTCTCACTGACCTAAGATTTGATAATTCCATTTGCCCTTGCAACAAACAGCAGGAAGTAAATCTGTTTGTACCTGCAAGGGGGCAGGCTGGGGTGGTGGGTGGGAAACTGGGGATATATATTGGTGGAGGGAAGAGCACATTGGAGGTGGTTTTGTTGTTGGAACATTTCAGTTCTGAGGCCATTGTATTATGAACAAACTGGCAAATCGTGGCCTTAAAATAAAAATATTTTTTTAAATAATAAAGAGGAAAAATTATGAAAGATAAATAAAACAGTACCATCCTTTGGGATGAACAGGTCCTATCATCCAGCACCTTTTGAGTGGACATTGGCTAATTCTTTGAAAAAGTTGCGCAGAAGGCCGGGTCTAGAGAGGAAAAGAGGCACATGATGAAGTCAGCCAACGTGATTTCTGATGTAGTTTGGCTTCACACTCTTTTTTTTTAAATTTATTTATTGAATCACCATGAGAACAATTACAAAGCTTTTGGGTTTAAATCTCGGTGATACAATGATCAAACACCCATCCCTTCACTAGTGCATTTTTTCCACCACCAATAAACCCCCATCACACCCCTCTCGATGCCTATGAAGCAGATGATTTCCACTTAACTCTCTCTCGCTCTCTCTCTATTTTGATTACATTCATTATTTTGCCAAAAGATGCACCATGATTACTTGTAATTTCTCTCCAACAATCAGACCTGCTGAAAAGGCATTGTGAAATAATTTGTTTCCTGTTGCTGGTTATGAAGACCATATAATGTCGTGAGGCCGCAATTTGGATTTCTGATATTTTACTAATTAAGTTTGAAGGGATTTCTGCCAAACGCTGCATAATTACAAGATTGGTTTGTGGGCCTCGGGGCCCATGGCCGTGCTGGAGAGCCACTCGGGCGGGGGTAACTTGTGGCCTCGGCAGGGCAGGAAGGACGTGCCGGTTCTGGCCCCCCCCCCCCCATACCATAAGGCTGCAGTCGCCCCGTTACTGCCAGCTCATACCTGGCTGTCCCATAAGCTCAGAGCACAATGCCATAGTTTAATGCAGAGTCCATTCACATTTCTGCCGAAAGCTGCTGGGTTCCGAATTGGGTCCATGTGCCTCTGGGGCCATGGCCGTGCCCGAGAGTCACTTGTGGGGAGCAACTCGTGACCTCGATGGGGTGGGAAGGACATGCGAGTTCCACGCCCATCCTGTGAGGACACAGTTTGGCTTCACACTCTTGTGCAACTGTGTATGAACATTGAGTTTCGGCTTTATCTTTCTCTGTTTCTTTAATGATTAAAAAAATATTTTTTTAATTTGAGTTGTCCTCAAAATAGCCCTGCGCAAACAGACCACCTTCACTGGCATGGATTCAAACAATGATTCTTCTCCATGACTCCAAGAAGTTTAGTGGCGGCCAGAGAGAGAGCCTAGGGGTTAATGTGCTGCCTGAAGGGTTTAGTGGACATTCTCATGACCATCTAAGCCCTGAATCTCTTTACTGAATTTTCCACCTCCCACTATCAAATCTGAAAAATCTACATATCTCTCTCCTGGACTCACTTGGAACTAGAGCGGGAGCACAAGCCAAACACCACCACTACCTCGCCCCACTCTGGACACGATAGGCTTTGTACATGGGGGGTACTCCTGCTCTGCACTCAGGAATAACTCCTGGCAGTGATGTAGGGATCATACGGGATGCCGAGGATCATACCCACGTAGACCACCTGCAAGGCAAGCACCCTACCTGTGGTACTATCACTCTGGCCCTGAGATCCCACCACTTTAAAATGTATTATCTCTTTATTTTATTGTTGTGGGGTCCTCTCCTGGTAGAGATCACACCCAGGACATCACACATGCACATCATGTGTTCTGTCACTTCAGCCACACCCAGGCCTCCCTGCCCCATCTTTATTTTAAATGTTTGTGATTGGTTTTCTGAGTGAAAGAATCACACATAGTTATTCTTTTCTTCTATATATGTCTCTATACCTTCCAATCTTTCACGTTGGGGTCCATAACTTTTACCCTTTTTTTTTTCCATTTTTATCAAAATAATACCTGTTTAGGGGCTGGAGTGATAGTAGAACAGGCAGGGCACTTGCTTTGCATATGTGCTACACTGGTACTATTCTTGTATGATTCCCTGAACCACCTGAAAGTGACCTCTGAGCAGAACCAGAAATAAGCCTTGAGCGATGCCAGATGTGGCTCAAAACTAGTAACACTGTAGCACTGTAGCGATATCCTCCCGTTGTTCATCGGTTTGCTCTAGCGGGCCCAGTAACGTCTCCATTGTGGGATTTGTTGTTGCTGTGTTTGGCATATTGAATACGTCACGGGGAGCTTTCCAGGCTTTGTCGTGTGGGCAAGATTCTCTCCGTAGCTTGCCAGGCACTCCGAGAGGGGAGGAGGAATCGAACCTGGCTTGGCCGGGCCAGCAGCTTGCAAGGCAAACGCCCTACCGCTGTGCTATCACTCAACAACAATAATAATACCTGTCTGGACTGCAAAAGATCAAGCAGCCAACAAGGATGGAAGTGGCTGACAGCAACCCCTTGCCCACCGGCTCCCACAGATCCACTGACCAGAGGCAACGTCTTCCAGTGTTTTCTGTTGTTTCCTTCACATCATTTCTCAAATAATTTTGCTATTACTAAAACTTTCTACTTGGGGAAAATCTTAAAGTTTTCTAGATGAAAATGGGGCTCTGGGACCAGAGCCTAAAATAAGGTTGATTCAACCTTGCACAAGTTTTGCACACGGGAGCTGGTTTTCATTCCCACCATCACTTAATCCCCTGAGCACCAACCGGGGAGCACTGATCTATCTATGAGCTCTTGACAAAATTAAAAAATCTTCCCTAGTTTATGGTCAAACTCCGTCTGTTAGCTCCGTTGATATTTTGGTTCTGAGTCTAAAATACCCACAGTTGGCCTGCATTCTGGAAACTCAAGCAGTCTATCTTTGTTGTCTTCTTGAAGTAGAATTCCTTCTTCCTTAGGAAAGAAGGCAAGGCTGGTCCATCTAATGGTGGGGGGTGTCATCTGTTTATCTTCAAGTCCAGTCTGTGGAAGGGCCAATTACATGCAAAATAAA